AGCTGGGCTTGTATGTCCGCGGGGTCGGAACCGGCCGGCCAATGGATTTCCATGGTAACCTGGTCCTGTTCCGCATGAAATGGTGTTCCTTCTGGAACCGTTTCCATTATTATGTCGATGTTCACAAACTTTCGTTCCGCTTGGGCGCGGCTTGGTTGTTGGCGAGCAGCTGGGGCTGTCGCCCGTCCATTTGAACGCTCATTTGGCGCGGAGGTCCGCGCCTGCCCATTTTCTGCCATTCTGGCCTATATTAACTCAAGCATAATTTTCGAGAGTTCTCCGTTTTTGCCGCGGTCGGCGAGGTCAGCCATAGGCAGTTCGTGGTCGCGTTTTAACGAATATTACATTTTGTTGTTATCGTTGTTGTTATCGTTGTTGTTGTTGGTGGTGGTGGTAGTGGTGTTACAGCGTGGGAGGCTTCTAGGCCTATTGAACACGTGTTGTTGTTGTTATCGTTGTTGTTATCGTTGTTGTTATCGTTGTTGTTATCGTTGTTGTTGTTGTTGTTGTTGTTGTTGTTGTTGCTGATATCGTTGTTGTTTGCCGCAGGAGCCGCGCGCGGCAAGTCGGCGAGCAGGAACGCGCGCGGGGTGCGGGGTCGCAGGCGCCCCAACACCCCGGGAACTCCCCCGGTGGCAGATGGTACGGAGGCTGGTACGGCAGTGGCGGCGCCGGCGGTGGCGGCGAAGGGGCTGTCGGGGGCGCCAATACTGCTTGTGGCGACCGCGTCCTGCCAGGTGCAACGCGGCGGCGGCGGCAGCGGTGCCGTCGGCGGCAGGTCCCGCCGTACTTGCCTCTGCTGGACGGCTTCGCGTTGGAATGCTTGAACTGGGGCCTGTTCCTAATGACTAATAGCTCCTGCTGCTGCTGCTGCTGCTGCTGCTGCGCTAAGGCCTGCCGTTGCAGCTCTAAGGCTAAGGAAGTCGGTCGCGGCAGCAACAGCTGAGGACGATGACGAATCTTCGAGAATGGCGGGAAGCTGGCAAAGGTGCTGCGCGTTGGTGGCCGAAAGGTCCGAAGTGACGTTGAGGTGCGCTGGAAGGACCCATGGGGCAGCAATGCGCTGTGCCCCCTCGGGCCCCTCCGCAGTCGGTGCGAGCTCGAGCTGCTGCTGCTGTTGCTAAGGAGGATCGCAGATTTGATTTGGCTTGCTGCTGCTGGCAAAAGTTGCGGTGCTGGCGGCAATATCGGGGCGAGCGGCATTGCTTGGGGCGCCGCACGAGACGCAACGACATAGCGCCGCTCCCATCCAATTCAAAGTTGATGGTAATATGGTATTCTGTGTGATGGTGTCCGGAAAGCGGAGGGCCAGGCAACTTGTTGGAAGCGCTGCTGGCTGTTCGGTGGTTCAGCATGCAGCAGCCTACTACTTCACAAACGCCGCCGGCCGCGTGTAACTGGACGCACGCATAAAGCATGAAAGCGAAAGGAAGAGATGCGATGAGATATTTAGAGCTCCAAGTGTTGGTTAGATAGGTTTGTAAACGCTGTCTGGAGTCTGTGGAGTGAAATGCAAATGACCCTTGGTTCCGTGACATGGACATACGGTTACAACCCAGTTACCAAAATAATTCTCAAACGGGTAACAAAATTTCAGTTAACAGAAGCAACAGATGATACCGAAAATAGCTGAAACACAACTTTACTTCACGTGAAACAACGGTGCTCGCACGCACCGAGACGCTCTCGGCTTCAAATTTCACATTGCAGAGCTGGCCACGATCCCTCCTCGATCATTCGAGCACTTTCGCTGTGTGAATTCATTCTCAGGAAAGATTTGTTGTTTGGGCCAAAGACCTTCCCTCTTCGTGTCAGCAATATTTGAAAAACGTATGCTTTCTCGCGCAGTTACGCTATGATGGCAACTTCCGTAGATTACGGTTGGCCAAAGAGCTCTACTGGCCAACGAGCTCTGCTGTCTCCGCATCCTGTTCACTGCGATGTAAACCAACCAAGTTTGCGACGCTCTGAACTGCCGCATCATGGGGGTACGGCAGCCTGTGGAACGAGCCGTGTTACAGGTACATGAGTAGACGCTCATGTACCTGTGTGTGTGTGTGCTTGGGGGGGAGAAGGGGCGATGGGTGGCTGTGGACAAGGTGGGTGGATGCGTTGGGAAGAGAGAGGGTGCTTGTGTGTGCGTGCGTGTGTCTGTGTGTGTGGAGGACAGGATAACTCAAGGAGAAGGGGCCTCTTGTGATGAAAGCATGAATGACTTGCGCACCCTAATCGGGACGTGTGCTAGGGAGATGTTCGGCGTTGCATGGGGAAAGGTGAATTTTGTGAAGCGTGACTGGTGGAACGAGGACTGTGCCGCTGTGCGGAATGATATGATGAGTTTCCGTAAAGAGATCAGGGACCCCGTCTCGGGCAAGCTGCCGGACATTCATAGGGCTACCTGGAAGGCCAAGCACCGTGTCTTTAAGAAGGCTACTAGGAAGGCAGCTATTCAGGAGACCGAAATGGAAAATATGCGGAGGAGGATTAAGGCCACCCTGTCCAACCCACGCAGCTTGTGGACATGGCTGCGTGGGGGAAAACCACCTCCTTGCTGGATCTCAGATATTAATGCTTTTACCGAGCATTTTTCCAAGGTGCTTAATGGTGCGGGAAACGTGAGGCAAGGCTGCAAACGAGGGTATACAGTTTAAATGGCAGGATGAGGACCGGGTGATGCACCGACGGGAATTGGTTGCTTGG